TAACACACAGTTTCATAGTCGCCTGTTATTGAATTACAAATAACTCCCTTGTTACCTATATTCATTATGTAAATGTTTCAAAAACAACTTACAAATTAATTAAAGCACGCTCCACTGCTTTTCTCCGTGACGGCTAATTGTAATAGTTTCCTACAGCTCCAGTCTAATCTATTTCTTATATGTTTATTGTTTCTTTTCGCAGCTATGTTTTTTACGTATCTAAATTGTGCCAGGAAATGATCAAATTAAAATTACACCTTAAATACAAAGAGATTTTAAGCATATTAAAACTGTAATAAAAGGCATCGCATGTTAACGTAACTAGTAGCACACTTATTTTTGTAAATTAAACAATGTCTTCATTTAGATGCTGTGTTTTGACTGATAAATCATTTTACAAGCTGAAAAGAATCTGGATTAAGTGCAAATAGAAGAAACACTCAAAGTTAAACATTTTCAACCCTGTTACACAGAAGACGTATACTCCAGGCCACCCGATTATTCCCTTTTCTCTTACAACCGCTTAGAACTTCCACCAACAAATATTCACTTCAACTTTCCGCATTGTTTCTTGACCCGACTCAACAACGAATACCACTCTTGTCATTTAGCGGTGGGTCCATGATGAATCATAGGCTTATGTTTGTTAAATGTCATAGCACGGCACGTTTCCTCCTTATCACCCCCTTATCTTTTCACAAAATTGACGAAATAATCTCGTTTGTTGAGTACTCATTTAATAGAAAGTGAACTCTGCACCTTCTTTCCGAGGTCATTTGAAGATCAAAAGATGAACATCTAATAGGATGCTCTGCTTTGAAAATCGTATTATAAACGTTTGATTTCAAAAATATTTTTGTAATAATAATAATAATAATAATAATAATTATTATTATTATTATTATTATTATATTAATAATAATAAGAAGAAGAAGAAGAAGAAGAAGAACAACAACAACAACAACAACAATTCTATTGAAAGCTGCGTGCAGGTTCAACCTCTCAACTATATCCGAGCTTCGAAAAATATTTCCTTCAGACAGAGCGGAAAAAATGCCTGAATTCTTAAAGCGACTTGAGCGACCCCTTGTACCTCGGAATGCAGGATACGCGATATAAATTCGTCTCCGGGGCGTTACGTGGAAGCGCGATGCGTGAAATCGGCTTAGAGCAGACGGCAGGCGGCGCGGGGCGGAGACAGTATGGAGGATGAGGATGGGCGGGGCGGTTTCGGCACCGCGGCAAGGCGGAGCAAGTCAGGACAGAACGGAATGGGACAGTCGGAACGGAACCGTTTGGGACGGAAGGGGATGGGAGGGACAGGACGAGACTGGGCGGAATGGAACAATTTGGATTGGGATGGGGCCAGGGCCGGATTTACCGATAAGCAAAACAAGCAGTTGCTTGGGGGCCCCCATTGACCAGGGGCCCCGCGTTTCGAAAAATACGCATATTATATTTTTTTGTCTGTGAAATAATTGTTAATCAAGTAGTCTACTGTGTAACAAAATGTACAATTTCAAAACATTTTTTTTAAAAATATTTATTACATGTTAAATTAGTCTAATATTAACTATACTTTATTTCCTTTACTTATAACTTGATGATATCAAACTGTACTGCAGAACGGTCATTCAGTAAACTGAAGCGGATAAAAAACTATCTACGTACGTCTATGTCTCAAGAAAATTTAGTAGACCTAAGTATCCTGAGTATGAAGCATGATAACCTGAGAAATCTTCGTTTTGAAGACATCATCGACCAATTTTCTGCAGTGAAGAGCAGACAAAAAATTATGTAAAATGTATTTAATGTTAAAAAAATGTAACACAAGTAAAAATTTCTATAATAAATTATCAGTTTTCATTTGTATCTGTACAGAAAGTACTTATACTATAATACATTGTTTTATTTAATAAAGATGGAGCTATTTTTTCGGGGGGGGGGGCAACACAATTTTGTGCTTGGGGCCCCGCACTACTTAAATCCGGCCCTGGATGGCGCGGGCTCGGGGACAGGAGCAGAACGGGACGTGAGCTGGGAGGGCGGTGACAGGACGGGCGGGACGGGAGCGGGGTTGCGTGTAAACTGTGAAGAAAGGAGGCGGGGGAGGGAGCGGAATGAACCGCGCGATCCTCCCACCAGGTATACCCGCGATATTATCAGTGCGCACGCTTTCCGGCTAATCTGCGTACGGTGCGGCAGCACTGTAGCTTTCCAGGCATCGACGCGGTGTGTCATGTAGACCTCTCGATTTCATGTTAAATTAGTAGTTCTTCACATAATTTCTCGTATTAATTTTAACATATAATTAGGGATAGGAATTTTATGCAGTCAAAATTGTATGCAATAAAAATAAAACATATGCACTTAAAATCAGTGAAAAAACATTACCTAATAAAATAAATAGAAATTACGTGAACGTTGTTTTGTTATGGCGAACAGATTCTAACTGTTCCCAGCACAAAGACAAAATGAGAAAGAGAGAAGTAGGTTAGTACAGACTCATTCTACAAAATCGATATTCGAAGAATATTATTTGAGGGGCTTCTCTTTCAGTTAAACAGAACACATGGCTGTGATTACAGGCGTCGTTCGTTGATATTATCGTTACTCAATTCTGCGAACCGATCGTTTGCAACAGAGGCTATAGCATTCAAGGGGATAAAAGAAAAACAAATTAATTCCAGAGAAGTCATAATCTGAACTTAATATTAGTATTAACAAATTTTAGCCTATAAAAGAAGCAAGCCAAAAGAAGGAAATATTAAGTTATACTTGAAATTTGCAAATTTTATGCATTATTGATTTAAAATATGCAACATAATCTAGCATAACCCGGAAATATATAATTTAATGCAATATACAAATATGCAAAAAAAACTTGGCAATAAGTATTTTGGGACCCCCATTCGGAAAGAAAACTGAACTACAAACTTCAACGACCAAGCAGAAGAAATATGCAATTGCGTAAAAATCCTATCCCTAATTATAATTTTGCAACTTCCATCCTACCAACACTTAACTTTTCTGTTGAAAAAACTCTTTACGAAAAGGCGAAGTTGTACAAACGCATATTTAACTTTTAAAAATGTAAAAGTTTTAATAGCATTGAACGTCTGCAATTGAATTCAGTGTATTGTACTCTACAGTTACAAAAAGGTGTAAGAAAGGGAAAAAATGCTTTTGAAGGATCAGTTTTTGAAATCGAGACCTTCAGTTCATCATTTTTGCGCGTTACCACACCAATATTTAATACTCCAACATAAACGTTATTCTAAGTAATGAGTAAAATTATGCAATTTTCGAAATTACACAGGTTACAATGAAAATAAAACCTACTGAATGTTTTAAGCACACTTTGTTCGTCCCTAAATCAAATCAATAGCTCAAGTGGTCCAAAATCTATGTTAGACAAATGCAAACAACTACATCTCTTCTGTATTTTATATTATGCTAAAGAAAAATGATGATTCTGTGAAACTTATCTGCCAATTTCATTAAACCCAGAAAATGTGCTACGTATGGAAGGTATTATTCTTCCAGAGATTCATCAAACTGATCTAAGACGAACATTTAATAGAATATACTACGAAGAAATCAGTTGGCATAAATGCAATCTGCAACACACACTATCAAGCGTTTGAAGCCATGGAGTAATGAGCTATTTCTAGCTCCAGATTTTAAGCATTTTAAAACCTGGAGTCCATTGTTGACAAGTTTTATTCTTACCTGCGCTTTTATGGAATTCCGTTCCCAAAAGCTGAATGTGTAGGCTTCCCCATCTGCAAGATTGCAAGACATCTGCTTTCCTCCAATATAGTAGTCGTCGAACCATTGTTTCCCAAGCGTGTAAGACAAAAGAACTATGCTAAAAGAAATTTAAACATTTCAATTTTTGACAAAGTAATAGGAAGGAAGAACTAATCACTACACTTAGTAGATTGTAATTCAGCTTCACTATGAGCATATTTTGTTGAGCTCACCTTTTGCTTCTTGTAATGGGAGAACAGCCTGGGTTTTGGTTTACTATGATAGCTAAACTAAAAAGTAAAATGTGTAGTTTTCACATGTTACTAACATCGCTTTGAAGGTAATTTCATTCATCATTTAATTATTTATGGTTAAAAAGTGAGGAAAAAGTGAGATTCTACATAAAAATATTACGACTCCCCCATACGTCACATACAGATTTTACTAATCTAAAATAAATCAAATTATTCCAAATATTCTCCTCTTTTTCAGAGATAGCATCATAATTTTATCGTTTTATCTCTTGAGATTATGTTTCCTGCCTTTGTACCCCACAAAAATGTTTCGTAAATAATAATTATTTGACATGTAACAACAGATAGAATCACTTTGAGCAGCGTCATGCCCTGAACATTACAATGATGAAAATTTAATTCCAAATAAATGGCAGTCAATAAAATCAGGAATGGCGATATATGCAAAATTTTTACACTTTTTTCCTTTAATGACACTATTCATTCAACACATACTTATTTTATTTAATTCATAATTATATCGCGCTTACTTGTTTTCAGATGACGGCGCTAATTTGCAGCAATGAGCCAACCTTTTTTTCGAAGAAAGTACAGAAACACCGGCATTGTTCACATTGCATTAATCTAAATAAACATTTGTTCGAGAATCAATAGTATATTTATTACTGTTAATTTCTGGAATCAAATAGTACATATTTTGAGTCTCGTATTATAAAAACATCTAATACTCTTATCTCACACCTCATAAATGCAATTCAACACATCATAAATGCACTCCAACCTTATACGAATTCAGGTAGCTTTTAATATCAAAATGTCACAATTCAAGAACTATGTTACTTCTTTTAAATAGTTATTTTAAAAGACTAAATTCTATTGTCAGTACCGAATTCAAATGCAAAAAGAACATGATTTAATTACACAGAAGTATCACAATACAGATAACCGTTGCATAAGTTTTTTTCTTGAAAACTACAGTACTAGGCAGAAATATCACGACACACTGCAACAATTAACTGTCTTCGAGTCTCGTCGATTACCATGACAGCTAATTTTTTCCCACACACTCTTCTTAGGTGTCTTCTTTTTCTTCTTATTGCTTCTCCGTCGTACTTCGGGATGTTCGGGATCACACGTGACGGAAAAGGAATTGGACCTGTCGTCTTCGTCGTGAAGGCGCAGTTCCACGTCGTGGAAGTCCTCTTCGTCGTCCGAGAGTCGCCAGGCGTCCGCTTCGCGCGGCGGGATCAGCGTTTCGAACTGCATCGCGGCGTCCGAGTCCATTTCACTACCCGTGCGAAACCGCATGGATTTTATCTTCACGCCGCCGTCGCCGTTGCTGCACACTGATTCCGAGCTGCCTCCTGATCCGTCAGCTTTAGTAGAGCCCAGTTTGAACATTCGCTTCATCGCGTCGTTAACGAATTGAATTTCACGATTATTGTCTCGAATCGAGTGCCTCGCACTAACTTTCTCAAGAATATTGATCTGTATTTAACATTCACTTATTGCACTATAATGTTTCTGTCAGTCAAATAATGTACCTTAAATACAACTGAGAGACGTTCTCTTCTACCGCTCTTTGGCACTGCTCCCAGAACACTGATGGTTTTCCTCGCACTCGGAGCTTGGGCCGTTTCCTCATTTCGAGGCTCCGCGTACAGCGATGCCAGTTTATCACCCGAGCGTGACGTTGCTTCCGTTTGTTAAGGAATTATATCAGCAAGGAGCTGCCTCCGAACAAATTGGGTGTTGCCGATAACATTTTGTTCCGAGTTCCCTTCTATTTGTTGGCTCGTTATGAAACGCGCTTTCAAATTGGTTTTCAATGTGTCTTTATTTAAATGGCGACATTGTGTCTGTCCTTAAGGCCTACTCTTTGTACCTTTTCTCACCGTGCCAAGCAGTATAAATAGTTATAATAAGGGGGCGGATTTTAATGAAATCTCTTGTTTTTTGCTTTAGAACAATGCGGTTTAGTATAGAAATTTAATTTAAGTTACGACAAAACAAAAATGACCTTTTTTTTGCATTTTTCGTCGATTTTGACTTAAGTCTTTTTTTACATTTTTACGTCATTTTTAATGCAGTTTTCGCTAACCTCTTTGATTTTAACATCATTTTAATGGTACTTGCTTCAAAAAATATTTACGAGTTGCAACAAATGTTCTCCATCGAATTACTGAGTAGCCTTTTTGATTTCTTTGCTCATATATTGTAATGTAAGCCGTTGGGTGTTCTATGTAATCTAAGGTTTCTGTGAGGCCTATCGGCGCCATTGTCTGTTCGGGCACTTTAGCGACAAATAAAGGCAGATATTTTCTTTTATAGAACAGTCCAAATCAAAAGTTTGCAAGCTAAGTTAACTTAAACAAAAGAAAGGAGGCTCCAGGAGATTACATCAGTAACATTTCCAACAGCTTGAGTTCTTTATCTGAAGTGGTTTTGATCCATTTTACGTCATTTTTCTTTGTATTTAGGGCATTTTAAAAGCATTTTAAGAGCATTGATCATTTTTGGCAATGTTATATGTCACTAAAATTGCCCTCTAGTTATAATTGAGTTATAATGATTGTTCAAAACACCCAATTATAAATCAAATGTAATTTTTTAAATGCCTCTACACTCATATTACTAATTTATCGGGTCAATCAATCAATCCGACAAATTAGGGAGTTTAAGCACCGAATATCGTCACAAAATATCGTACAGCAATGATTGGGAATATCGATTGTCCGCGCATAAGCGAATACTCAAAAGCATGATGGAAAGATACTATTTGTTACTTATCTTTCCAACATGCTCATAAGGTTACTTGTCTTTCCATCGTGTTCAAAAGTGATGCAAAACTCGAACTGTTCAGAATATCGATATTGCTGTCGATTGCTGTAATGCTATGGAGTTTGTGCCACCTCGAAAGTTAAAGCACTATCAATGATCTGCTCAGGCGCAGTTCAAGTTTCGCACCATTTAATCTCATCTATGCATGCGCAGAAGATCGATATTGCTGACGCTAAAGCTGGCACAAACTCCCTAACAAATCGTGCTTAAACTTCTATTGCATCGTGTGGAGGCAAATTGTTGAACAGATATTTTTGTCGGTGGGTCTCTTTGACTACAGGACTGCCGATTCCCCCACCGTATTGTCCGTCAAAATGTGTAGTGAATAGCTAACTTACAGTGATAATAGTCTTCGAAGTGCTGGTCCAAATAAGAAACGGTTGTTTCATTGGAAAGTTCTCTTAAACATGACTGTTTTAGAGATCGTGATTAGGAATATGAACTCGAAATTTTCAAAAATAAAATTGCAGGTTCAATATGGCTGAAGCAATTAAATATCACATCAAATACATATTTCTTTTCAAAATCGACGAAGTAGTTAATTAGTTAATTAACAAATATTCACTATTAATTTATGTAAAATTTTATTTGTTATCACATGTTATATCTGTAAATACATTTGTCAATAATTTTATTAACCCCTAAATATGATTTGTTTTCCTTGTGGCCAGTTTTTTCACATCAGGAATCACTGTGCAACAGCCTGATAGATACAGTTCGGACAGGCGTCACTTCTCTCAGATTTTCGTCATGCTCGCATAGTTTTGCCTTGTTGAAATTCCGAACTACGAAAAAATCGGGTTGTTGGTTGAGTAGCCGTGAGTCTGATTTCATTGTTCCGACGGTGGGCTGGACAACTTGCCTCTATCGAGAGGCCTTAAAGAGTTGCAAATATATGTTTATAATTTGATATACTGGTCAATTCAGGTGATAAACTTAAAATAATTGACACACATGAGAAAATGAAAGAGACCCTAAAAATCTAGGTAAACAAATTTATTGTATTTTTAGTTCATAGAATAGTATTGGGAGTAAAAGTTAAGAAATTTGGTATGCTTAGTATAATCGTTCACCTAAGACCTCGGAAGTGTACTTCAAATTCATTCCGCCAGTGAAATTCAGTTTGATTGTCGAACAGAAAAATTAGCGTGTTATGAGCGTAGCGGGAATTTTTACTAATGGAAGGGAATTTTTCTTGGGAAGTCAAAATACATTTTTTTCTACAACTGCATAAAAAAGGCTTTACCCGCTAATATAACAATATCAACTAACTCCAAAAGAATATGCTCTCGTATTGATGCAAGATACCAAGATCATGCTTCCTCTGTGACAGTAAAAAGGTTGAGAATGATTGTGGTTGTTTGTAAACCATATACAAGATTCAGGCTTTTTATCTTCAGCCTTTTATTCATTAGATCCATTCATTCTAATAATTATATTTAGTATGGAGAAATAAAGATTTTTTTCTACGCAAAGATCAAATTAGTCGGACGAAACATTTTTGGAATTATCTGTTGTTATTTAAAAGAAATTGTACAGTAGACTTCACCGTACGCGTACCGCAAAGGAGACATGGCGAAGTAGAACAATTGCGTACTGCAAAGTAAACAAAACACTGGAACCACATAGCAGCCATATTGCACATTGAGACTGTGTAAGTTTGGATGGATTCGTAAGATGGATTCGTTCAAAAAATTATGCATCCAACTCTTACGCAAGTTTCTTTGTCGTACTCATTTCAAAATACTGAACAGTAAATGCTGCGGATCCCGTTGTCACCTCGTCCGTCGATATATCACTCATACGCCAAAGACTCACTTTCGTATAAGTTACGTGAATCGTAACTATTTCAATATCAGGAATGCCCACGATATACTAGGAGCAGGGTAGTGGGTCGAAATTCGCGGGATTTGACGACAATTTGGCAGGTTGGACTCCACACGTTCTTTCGAAGCGTGATCATCACACTTAATAAACTGGAAATATTAACTTTCGAATTTTTTGAAAATCCGAAAGACTAATTACTAAATGCCTTTGTGTTTAAATATTTTCATGAGTAATATGTGATGGTTTACGTTTGCACTAACTCACGATGAGTCACGAAGCTTAGTGTATAGGTGGTGAAAGTCTTTGATAAAATATTTCCTCTTACACTTCTGTATTCTCTTATCGTTGTGCATATTATTTTACCATATTTATGCCATATCAGTTTAATTTGTTGTCAGTCGCCTATTGTCTTCTTGTGTACAAAGCACTGCAACCATCCAAACAGCGTGATTCCGCATGCGAACCTTTGATTTCTTTTTACGTAATTTATTATTTTCTTTCTATGTAAATTCGTGTGAACTATCACTCTCACTTGCAAGTATTTAGAGTTAGGATATAGTGAACCTTCAGTGTCGAATGTAATGGTGTGATATATTTTTTTCCTTATTATTTACTTCAGCTTTCATGGAAATAGTTGAATATTTGCACAAATCACTGTGTTTTGCCTTGGCATGCATCAAAAGAGATATTGAAGAGCATATATTCTCCAACAGTCGATTTATATAATATTTTTAAAAAAATATTTTTAAATTTTTATTTTATTTATAAAATAATTTTTATTTTTATTTATTTATATTTTATTTATTTATTTTTTTATTTATTGTTTATTTATTTATTTTTTAATTTATTTTTTATTTATTATTTATAAAACTAAAAATATATTTCTTTCGCAGGTGTCCTTCTTCTCTACGAGCCCTGAGCTGAGCAACAAGCAACGCTTCGAATTCTTCTCCCGCACCATCCCTTCAGACCACTACCAAGTGAAGGCCATGGTGGAGATCGTGAAGCTCATGCAGTGGAATTACGTCAGCATACTGTACGAAGAGTCCAACTACGGAATCAAGGTTAGATCACCACTCCACGAGCTTTCTAACATATCAATAGAGTGGCTTAGGTTCAGCAATCTGGCTGCTTAGAACAATAATGTTATTTATTTCCTGCCGGAAAAGCCAGCTGAACGGTATTCAATTAAATTTGCGAACCAGAGTACGCAATAAATATTACGTAATTAGCGGTAATACGTGTGTATAGTTAACAGTCGACAGTTGCATCCTAAAACCACAACCAGATGGTAGCCCTGGTGAGTCATGTTAGGCAATTACATGAAAGTGTGTTGATTTACATTTGATGTCCTCGCCCTGCTAGAAAGTACCGAAACATGAATTGACTCTACGAACACCTTGCAAAGCACGACAGACTTTTCTCAGCACCCACAATATCCTTAACAGCTGTTCTATTACTTCAGCACCAAAAACCGATATTTTTGTGGAAGATACGGGTTCTGATTGCCCTCACTTGGAATTGAACGCGGTAATCCGTTGGAGAACAATATATAAACATTTTTAACTCTAATTCAAATTATAATTATTATGGTTTAATTTCATTTTTTTTCGGTTTTCTATCTTTTATATTTTAGGACAACTACATAAGCTGATAGCCTCATACTAATTTTATGGTCAGGTATTTTAAATAGCTTCACTTTTAGTAACCATTCCGAATAAGTTAAATAGGCTATTGAAATACAAATAAATTACAAAATATTGAATTTACAGAATCTAGTGTAGGATTGTATTCGTATAGTTATTTCGCGCGTCTGAAATATTATTGTCAATTCCCCATATTTCATCTTACGTAGTTTCATGCCCTTGTTGAGGTACATCGAAATTACATTTGCAAGCAAAACTTTCACTACATTATCTCATTTTAATTGGGAAACCAAAAATAAACTTCTTTGTCTCAGAAAGACATATCTGCAATTCTGTAAGAATGTTTACCTGAATTTATATGCTTTGTATGACTTGGGTTTTTCCCTTTCACTCAAGGTTTTCGAGAGGTAGGCCTTAGTATTTTCAAACATTTTAATACTTCTGTATTCTAAAATACACACCTTTTAAACATTCTGACTTGCCTAGAAAGTGATAAATGACAATTTTTTGCTATATTTTGCTTTCGAAGCATTTATTGATGGCTCAAAAATAATCAGCACGATACCATTAGAATTTCATTTGCAATATAACATCTTGTAAGTTTACTGAATATATCACGTAATTTTTCACCTATCGATTTTCCGAAAAGCCGTAAAATATTTTAATGCTTCCCAAGCTGTTTTCTCCACTTTATTCAATAGTCCCTCAAACTTTCCATCTTGTGTTAGTAATCACATTTTTGAACCCACAAATATTCCTTTTTTAATTTTTGCATCACTAATTTTAGAAAACTTCGGTTTAAAGTAATTGACCGAGAGTATTGAACATGGCTTGGACGAAATTCTTCATTCATCCTAGTTTGATAAGTAACACAGGTAGATTCACATTTTTAGCACTACACAATGGGCCATGTTTAAAATATATGTGAACCATATATTAAGAAATACTTGGTTCAGTTCAGACCTTTATTACTCATTCATTGACAGTTCATTTTGACTGCCCTTGACAGCATTATGAACATTACTTTTTTTTAAAGAAAAAAATTTCCAAAATTGGCTCAAACCTTTTTCTTTAAAATGTTGTGCGGATAATATTATATGCACTAAATAACATGACTTAAACGGCATTTTGAGGTATTTAGACATTTCAAAAATTACAAAGATATTTATTCTCAGATCGTTAAACACTTCGTTGAGAAGAGACGCAACTTTGACACAAATTCACCACAACATTATTAATGCAGTTTGATTTTAGAGAATGTACTGGAATATTCGGTAATCAGTTGGATAAGCTATTATTATAATTATTATTATTATTATTATTATTATTATTATTATTATTGATCATTTAGGCATTACTGATCACGCTACACGATTAACGTGTGTACTTTTTCCAGAATCAGCTTTTCAGCTGTATCCCTCATTACGACAAGGTTGTTACGCGTTGAAGTGTGAATTATGAGATGATAGGATGATGATAATGATGATGATGATGATGATGAGGGATGAAGAGGAAAATTACAAATACGATCATGCCTACGTAGGAATCGGATCTGCAGCCTCCTCGGCGCAATGGTTGCCGCAACCGTCTGCACCAAGGAGTGGACTTATTATTATTATTATTATTATTATTATTATTATTATTATTATTATTATTATTATTATTATTACAGTGTTTTATAATGATAGAGTATAATTTATTACAAAGCTGATTACCTACTCCTGTATATGCTGAGAGAGACCACAGATAGAAGACAAGGCATGTTTGTTTTGTTTTTTGTTGTGTTGACTACTTTGAGATAGTACTTATAGCACTGCTGTTTCATTCACGTGCTTCCTATATGCCAATCATTTCGTTCTTGTGAATAAAGCTGAAACTGCAAGTGCCATTGGAAACTACGCACGGTAGTCAGGCGGCGTTGGAGTCTCGCCCACGCATAAACGATAACGCCGACGACAGATGGACGGTTTTTGCTAGCATAATCACAGCACTATTGCATATTCAATGAGTAACAATTCCGGTGGCATCGTAAAGGTTTCACACACACACACACACGAGGCCAGTGAACCACATACCTCGCTCTGTTTTTTTCCCCATCAGCACTTGTCACTTCTGGTAAAGCGACAACACAGAAATGCAACTGCTGTTCGTAATTGGCCGTCCGCTATTCCGCCTCAATGTGCTCACACGTCACAGCAGGACGCGGTTCCACTAACGACGCAAAATTACGTCGATATCAGGTCGCAGTTTTCAGCCGGGGGAAAAAACAGCCAACCGTGTGTGGCAGGCCAATTGCTCATTTTTATACGCACGGCCCCCTAACGGAAGCCAGTCAAGCGCAATGGGCGAAGGACGCAGGGCCGCAGGGACCGCAGAACGCAAGCGACTGCGTCAGGGAAAAAAAATCACTTAAATGAAATTGTTGGTTCGGTGCAAGGAGGAGAGAAATATATGGAGAATTTAATTGAAATTTGATGCTGAGAGTGAACATTTTATTTTGATACAACTGATAGCAAGCTATTTTAAATTTGTTTAGGTGTCGAGTAATGCTGGTATAGATGTGTTCACTAGTGTCGTGATAGCTGTTGTAAAGTTTCCTTTTCTTTGTCATTAATTCAGTGGTGATTGCACAAGAGTTTGACAAGTAACTAGAAAGTTCCATGTAAGTGCCACAGAATTATAAGCGTCGTTGCCATATACTAGTTTCGTAGCTTAATCGAGGTGAGGTTTTTTAGGATTGAGTTTTAATACGAGATAAACTTGTCGATACGAGGTCATAAATTTCAGCCAGAAGTGTCTTGCCAATTGCGCATTTGCACAGAGCACAGACAAAGCACACAGACAAAGCGAATTGCAGGTCTACCGGTTAGACAAAATACAAGAAAAACAGAAATCTAGCTATTCTAAAACTTTCACCGACTTTTTTATTATTTGTAACAGTTACGTAAAATGACATTAATTACATTGCAAATAATTTAATTGTAATATTTCAACTGGTCCATGTGATAAAAAGTGTGAAAAAAACTATCTTTAACTGCTTGAACTTGAACACATCTATTTTGTAGTATATTTTAAAATCCACTTTATAAGTAATTCGACATTTTTCTTGCATGACAAAGATTCATGGCCAAAAATGTGCCAAAAGTGTGCAAATCAATGACATACAACAGCATTCATTGTCATAGCAACAATGTTTAGAGTTTTAGATTTACCTTTAAAACGTTCAAACTCGCACTCATTATGAACCAAATTTCTCAAAATTAGCTAAACCTTCAGACAATTTGCAAAATTTATTGTTTAGAAATTTCTTTAGTTAAGAGAATTGTTTATTTTTCAATTTCACAGGGCTTTAATATGAGTTAGATGATCGGAGAGTATACACTTTGAAAACCACCTTATGTACGCCCTAATCTAAATTAACTATTAAGGCCCGAGTGTTATTCACAAAATAACGGACAAACAGACCTTAAAAACCACAATTGGGTGTCAAAGCTTGTTTTTGCGTTGACAGAGATCGATTTGTTGCAAAATTACGTAGCATTACACTGCGTTTACCAGAAAGAAAATTTTGGCATATTTGGAAAATTTTGGCAGAGATTTTGAAAGGTAAAATTGTATTTTGGACAATTAAACTCTCCCCACTACCGTAGATTAGATAAAACTGAAAAATATTGTGATATACATGAGAGATATAAATAGGTAGTATTTATATATCTCGTGTATATCACAATATTCTGCATTCTTCAATACGTAGTATTTTTATCTCTCATGTATATCACATGGGCTTGGTGAATGATATGGACAAAAGAAGGGACATTAGGACTGACTTGACAGTCGATAACACCCTACTTTAAGTAAAAGTGAAGAACTTTACCGTCTGTTACTTGTTTCCTTTTCAGAAAAAGAATATATTAATATTTCACCCCTATGGTACAAAGCTTCGTGCGTATCCTTGCCACCTGCACTAATCTTTGAAATATCTCTAAAAGTCCTTACCCCGACGTGTGCATCATATGACAGCTCAGAATCTTCTCCACTGCCTGATTGATTAATGTTGCCGGTCATGTCAACATAAATGGTTAGTAGTCCCTTTAGTTTAATGATTTTTTTTTATCTCCGGAGGTTAGATACTTGACCGGGAGATTGACCACAGAACGTAAGTTCCTTGAACCATTATTTCTTGGGTATTTTGGGATGGCGGAGAGTAAATATTTCGGATTTTCTTTTAGGTGGATTGATGCTAACTCTCCAATTCTGAATCCATTCCACGTAGTACTTATCTACACTGATTTGAAGGTGTGTTTACATTAGTTGCCTTACAAATCACACTTTGCGAAATTATTGAGAAATCTGCAAGATTATTATCTAATTCCCATTTCCCAATTAAATAAACGGGATAATGATCACAATTTCGACTT